AATCTTTTTTTTTTTTTTTTTCTTAATTTTGATGTTTCTTCCTGTTGAAGTTGTGTAGTGACATCTCATTGGAGGAGATGATATTCTGCCAGCTCTACTTTCAGACCAAGGATGGTCTCCCAATGAAACTGTTGAATTTATCTAGACAGTAAGATGCTGGACTCTGCATGGTCCATGCCTGCAATGAAGGAATCATGACTGGATATGATCTGTACTACTGTAACAATATGGAGGAATTCAATATGGGGGGGAGGGCTTTAGAAGGGGCTGGGGGAATCCCAGAGCCTATGAAACTGTGTCATAAAATTATATTAAAACAAACAAAGATTTATTTTGGGACCCAGCTTGATAGCCTAGCAGCTAAAATCCTCACCTTGAATGCGTTGGGATCCCATATGGATGCTGGTTCTAATCCCAGCAGCCCCACTCCCCATCCAGTTCCTTGCTTGTGACCCTGGGAAAGCAGTTGAGGACAGCCCAAAGCCTTCAGGACCCTCCACCCACATGGGAGACTCAGAAGAAGCTCCTGGCTCCTGGCTTCGGATTGGCTCAACTCCAGCTGTTGTGGCTGCTTGGGGAGTGAATCATCGGACAGAAGATGTTCCCCTCTCTTTCCTCCTCTCCATATATCTGACTTTGCAATAAAAATAAATTAATAAGTATTAAGAGACCACAATGACTGGAGCTGTGCTGATCCAAAGCCATGAGCCAGGAACCTCCTCCAGGTCTCCCATGTGGGTGCAGGGTCCTAAGGCATTGGGCCGTCCTCGACTGCTTTCTCAGGCCACAAGCAGAGAGTTGGATGGGAAGTAGAGCTGCTGGGATTAGAACTGGCGTCCATATGGGACCCCGGCGTGTTCAAGGTGAGAACTTTAGTCCCTAGGCCACTGCGCCAGGCCTAAATAAATCTTTACAAAAAAAAAAAAAGATTTTTTATTGGAAAGGCAGGCAGATGTACAGAAAGAAGGAGACATAGAGAGGAAGATCTTCCATCTGTTGGTTCACTCCCCAGGTGAGCCCAAAGCAAGGAAGCAGGAGCTTCTTCCAGGTCTCTCACATGGGTGCAGAGTCCCAAGGTTTTGGGCCGTTCTCTACTGCTTTCCCAGGCCACAAGCAGGGAGCTTTGGTGAGAAGTGGGGCAACCTGGAATGCGAATTAGTGCCCATATGGGATCCCAGCGCTTGGAAGTTGAGGTTTAGCTAGTTGAGCCAGCGTACTGGCCGTTCTGGATGTAATTTGTAATTGTGTATTTCCACAAGATTTCTGAAGCCGCCTGTATCTGCTGTGACCACGTTGCTCAGTGGTTAGAAGCCAGTCCCTGGTGCGGGTGTGAAGTCCCGGCTGCTTCCAGCACCACAGACGGCAGCCCCACCCACCTGGTCACTCGCATGGCCATATGTTTGGGGACATAGTGTGGTCACCTCCTTCCTTCATTCCTGCCCCCCCTGAACTTCATTGAGCTCATTTCTGGCGCATCTGGGTCCTCCTTCCCCCAGACCTCCCACCTTGGCCTGGTCTGCTGACCCCTCCTTCCCCTGTCCCCTTCCCCATCTGCTCTCTGCCAGAAGCCAGCTGTGTGGGTAGTAGGTGGTGCCCAGCACGAGGCCAAGAGGCAGGAGATGATGAGCCAGGGGGAGTGGGGAAGGAGACTGGGACAGAGGCCTTGTTTGCGAGAGGCTCCATATGCATAGAGGACCATGTGCATGGAGCAGCTGCCATCATAACTGGATGGATGGGAGAGGGACAGGCAGATATGGGTGGACAAACAGATGCGGATGAACGATGAACAAGTGACGAGTGGGGTGATTGGGCATGGATGGATGATGGAGGGAGGGAGGGAAGTACAGGGAAGTGTGGACATGGGTGTGGATGGAGATGACGGATGGAGGACAGCTGAGCCCCACACAGCCCATCGAAAGCCGCACTCCATGATGTGGCAGGTGTGGGAGGTGAAGGCTCTGCAAGATGCCTGAGCCTTCCCTGTCCTCTCCCTGCAGCCTCAAAACGGAGGATCCCAGTGTCCCAGCCCGGCATGACCGACCCCCACCAGCTCTTTGATGACACGAGCTCGGCCCAGAGTCGGGGGTATGGGCCCCAGCGGGTCCCCGGCAGCCTGGGCTACCCGGCAGCGGCTGCTTCCCCGCAGGCTGCCTTTCTGACTGACCCCATGTCCAACATGGCCATGGCCTACGGAAGCAGCCTGGCCGCTCAGGGCAAGGAGCTGGTGGACAAGAATGTGAGTGGGCCGGGGTAGGGGCAGGGACGGGAGGTGCTGGCAGGCCCGGGAGGAGACGCCCCAGCCCCGCTCCCCGGCGTCTCCCTCAGGCCTGAGCGCTCCCCCCCCAGATCGACCGCTTCATCCCCATCACCAAGCTCAAGTATTACTTTGCCGTGGACACCGTGTACGTGGGCAAGAAGCTGGGCCTGCTCGTCTTCCCCTACCTGCACCAGGTCAGCACCGCTCGCGCTGAGGGGGTCAGAGCCTGGGCCCGCAGGTGGGGGGAGGAGCCCCACTGGGGGTCCTGGCTGCTGCCCCCCAACTCTGCCCACAGGACTGGGAGGTGCAGTACCAGCAGGACACGCCCGTGGCCCCTCGCTTCGACATCAACGCTCCAGACCTCTACATTCCAGGTCTCCCCTCCTGACCTCCTCCCACATCCTACTTCCTGGGGAGAGTGGCGAGTTGGGGGGCAAAGAAACTGGGTACCTGGAGCCCAGGGTGGCGCCCTGTGTGTGTGTGTGTGTGTGTCTGTCTGCCCTACAGCCATGGCTTTCATCACCTACATCCTGGTGGCTGGCCTGGCCCTCGGCACCCAGGACAGGTAAGAGAGGTGGGGGCGAGGAGAAGGCAGCACGGGGGTCACGGGGGTCACAGGGGTCACAGGGGCTGGGACAGCAGCCCCACCTTTCTCCCACTGGCTCAACACAGAGCCCTGCCTTCTCTTCCTCACTGCCCCCTAAGTAGATGCGCCTACCCCTCTACTGGATGCTGGCCTGGCCATGTACCCCCTTCTCTCCCCAAACCCCACTGTCCACTGATGGCCTGTTCTAGCCCCCTGCCCCACTCCCAGTAGCCCACTCCGGCGGCCCCTCCTAACCAGGCCAGGCACAGCCTCTGTGCTTCCCCGGGCCCCCCCAGCCCTCCCAGGGTTTGGGCTCAGGTCTGCCAGCCCCACGGCAGCTGCCCAGGGAGGTGAATGACGGCCTGTGGGTACCCCTCAGGTTCTCCCCGGACCTCCTGGGGCTGCAGGCTAGCTCGGCGCTGGCCTGGCTGGCCCTGGAGGTGCTGGCCATCCTGCTCAGTCTCTACCTGCTCACTGTCAACACTGACCTCACCACCATCGACCTGGTGGCCTTCCTGGGCTACAAATATGTCGGGTGAGTGCCCATCCCCTGCCAGCTCTCCCTGGGCCTGCCCTCCCTGGGCCAGCTCTCCCTGGGCCTCCTCTCTCAGCCCAGCCTCCACTCTCCTCAGCATGATTGGCGGCGTCCTCATGGGCCTGCTCTTTGGGAAGATTGGCTACTACCTGGTGCTGGGCTGGTGCTGTGTGTCCATCTTTGTGTTCATGGTAAGCCAGGGCTCAGGTTGGGGGAGGCTGAGGGCATGAGCCCACACCCTCTACAGGCAGGGAGTCCCTGGGGGTACCCGAGCAGAGGACATCCACTGGGACTTTAGACCAGAGCCATGTAACTGAATTTAGGGGCTTGGGATGGCGACTCCAGCCTAGGTGCTCAGGAGGGCTTCCTGAAAGAGGTGTCTAGCCAGGCCCGGGGCTGGGAATGCCCAGCAGGCTGTGAACTGGATTCTGCCCTCACTCTACTCTCCTCACTTGGAGGGCCTTCCTGCCAACCCTCCCCCCAAGGGATTGTGAGTCTTTGCAGCTTGAGACTGGGTACTGGTTAAGTAATGGGGTTCATCAGGCCTGGGCCAACCCCCAGCATCACCAAAACCTCGGGCAGATTGCTTCCTTGCTTTAAACTTCCGTTTCTGCATTTGTACAGCAAACATACCCATAAGCTTTAATTTTGGTGTCCCCATTTTAAAGTTGTAAAGTTCATTCAGTCTAGTACTTCGGGCTTGTCTTGAAAGATCGTCCCCTGGCCAGCCTTAACCCCTGCCTCAGGTGGGGGCCACAGGCTCCCAGGGCACCAGTGGGTCCTCACCCCCTGTGGGGTGGACTTTGGGGAGCCAAGCCCCTCCAACCCAGCAGGAGATGCTTGAGACTGTGGAGGGACAGGGACTTGTGTGGCGTTGCCTGCATAGCACCAGGCACTCCCAAAGGCTCATGAAAAAGAGAATTAAAAGGCTACAGAAATTTTGGTGCAGAAAAAGCCAAATTTGAAATCCATGCCTCTGTGAGGTCCTCCAAAAAGCTCACAGAAGATGACTATTAACGGAAAAACTACGCATGGTTTTCAAACAATCTCTTCCACCAACATCACCTTTGAATTGCCGGTTCTCAGGCGCTTTGCCCCCCACACCCCGCCTTGACCCCAGCTCCCTCCTCCCTACCCAGATCCGGACGCTGCGGTTGAAGATCCTGGCCGAGGCAGCGGCCGAAGGGGTGCCGGTGCGCGGGGCGCGGAACCAGCTGCGCATGTACCTGACCATGGCCGTGGCGGCGGCACAGCCTCTCCTCATGTACTGGCTCACCTTCCACCTGGTGCGGTGAGGGTGCTGAGCGAAACCTCGTCCTCTGCTGCCGCCGCCGGTGCGTGTGCACGCGTGCGGCTGCCACTGTCATCTCTGCCCCGGCTCCGGACCGTCCCGGCCCACGAGCCTCCCCACTCCCCCACCAAGGTGCTGAGAGATGTCCCGCTGCACAGGCCGCGTGTCCAGAGCGCGGCCGCTGCTCCCCAACAATAAACCCGATGGGCAAAGGGCTGGTCTCCTTGGCTGCGGCGCGGAGGGCGCAGGGCCCAGGACGCCCGGCAGGGGGCGGGCCCGGGCCGGACACGGAGGGCGCACAGGCGGAAGCGGAAAGCAGGGAAAGGTTTTTAATGAACCGGGCTGGGACCCATCAGTGGGAGGGCTTCTTGCTCTTATCCTTGTTTTTCTTCACCTTGGGCTTCTTGACCTTGCCCGAGGTGCCATCGTGTGGCTTTGGCTTGGAGCCAGCAGCGTGATGCTACGGGGATGAGGACAGTGAGTGGGAGATGGTACTGTGCAGGAAGTGGACGTGGGACCCAAACCCCTCCACCCCGCGGTTGGGACTCTGACCTTGGGGACTGGGGCATCGGGGAGCAGTTCCTTACCTTGCCATCCGAGTCTGAGTCGCTGGAGCTGCTGCTCGAGTCCGAGGAGCTGCCATGGCCTTGCTGTGGAATGCGACATTGAGGCAGAGAGTCCCTTAACCGCTCCCCACCGATGGGCAGGCAGCTTGACGATGCCAGAGCCCTAGGGGGCCAAGGTGAGCCTCTGCACCCCTTGGAGACATGTCGGTTGGGGTGGCTTACCTTTGGATGGTGAGGTGCCCCCGGAGGTTTGGGGTGACCATGCTTCTTGGGGTCCATGGCTGTGGAGAGAGGTTAGGTTGAATGATGCAGGGGACCCCTGGCCCCTTCCGCTCCTGCCCCCCTCCACACTCCCCAGGAGCGCACCTGCTTCTGCGGTGGTATGAGGAGGTCTGGCAAGGTCTGACCGGCAGGCGCAGAAGCAGCGGGGACCTGCCCCGCCCAGGAATACCAGGATGGGGGTGCTGGGGCGCCCCACCCGACCTTTGTCCTGGGCCATTAGCTCTGACTCACTGCCATTCTCCGGCCCCACCCAGCCCTTCCCCTGTGGGGAATGGGGAAGGTGGGCAGCGGGCAGCCTCTGGGGCTGGCCTTGAGCGGCAGGAGGGGCTCTCTGGGGGTGTGGGGATGGGAGGTTTGGGGCTGTGTGCTCCTTCAGGACTCTTCTCCGCTGATGGCACCAGTGGCTCCCTCACACCAGACCCTGTTGCAAGGTCATTTGTTGTCACTCCCCTCTGCGACCTTGAACAGCAGTGTCTAAAGTGAGGGACACGGATTTGGAGCCAGGCTGCTGCATTTCGCCTAGACTTCTGTGTTCTTAAGATTGTTTATTTGAAAGACAATGTGGCAGAAAGATTTTCATCTGCTGGTACTCTAAATGGCCCCAACAGCCAGTGCTGGGCCAGACCTAAGCCAGGGGCTCCCTCTGTCTCCCACAGGGTGGGGGGTGGCAAGAACTCGAGTCTTTGGGTGGCCCTCTCTGCCTCCCACAGGGAGCACCCTGCTGTTTTTCCTACATCACAGCAGGAGGCTGGATCACCAGTGGAGCATCCAGCCCTCTAACTCCTAAGTGATGACTTAGCCCACTTGCTGCCTGCCCTCCCCCTAGATTTAAGGATCAAATGGAGAGATTTCCGGGACTGTGTCTGTCACCGAGTAAATGCTTGTGAAGTGTTGGGTTGTTTCTGTCCTTAAATTAAAAGCTGGTATGTGAGTTGGGGCTGCCGTGCCCAGCTGGCCCCAGAGTGGCTCCTCACCAAGAGCAGAATCGGATGTTTGAAAGGCAGTGAGAGAGGGGGGCGGATGGCAGGAGTGGGAAGAATTCTTACATCTGCTGCTTCTCTCCCGATAGCTGCCAAGCGCTGGGGCTGGCCCAAGGCACGAGCCGGGGGTCTCCCACGTGGGTGTGCGTGGGCCATCTTCCATTGCCTCCCCAGGTGGATCGCAAGTGGAGGAGTTGGGACTCAGCCAGGTGTCTGTCTCCTGCTGTCTGCTGAGAGCCTCCCAAAGCCTTCCCCGAGCTCCCACCTCCCTGTAGCACCCATGACAAGGAGGCTACCAGGGGCTGAATTTGGGGGGACTGGGGAAGACAACATCCAGCCCACATGCAGTTGGTATTGCTGCCAACCCCTAGTTTACCTGTCCAAGGTTTATTTCAAAGTCTCAGGAACAGATCTCCTATTTGCTGAGTCATACCCCAAATGGCCCAGTCTGGGCCAGGCTGAAGCTAGGAGCACAGAATTCATCTGGGTCTCCCACCAAGTGGTGGGAACCTAAGTTCTTGGGTCATCGTGTGTGGATTTCCCAGGTGCATCAGCAGGGAGCTGGAGTCTGCAGGGTGGGTGAACAGGCCAAGACAGCTTGGTCCTCGCTGCTCCCATCCCTCCTGCTCCGACTGTATGGGAAGAAGCAGGAGGGTCCTTCCCTGTACACCCTCAGCTTGTGCCACGTGCCTCGTCTGTATTGTGAGTGGGGGAACAGTGTGGCGGGGAGAAAGCCTAAGCTAGAGTGGGTGAGAGTGCTGGGTGTGGTCAGCCTACATGGTCATCACCAGGAAAGAACCCTCTCCCCCTTCTTTGGAGAGGCTCTGTTCCCCGTCACTCAGCTAACGGGCAGAGCCAGCAGCCACCATCTATCCTTCCCCCCACTGGTCTGTGGGTGTGGATGCAAGATAGCACTGCCCTGTTACAGGGCCTTGCCCTGGGATTGAGCGTTTGCCTTCTGCTGCTTTTTCCAGTGAACTGCCGTGGTGCCCTCTCCCCTCTGGGGAAGAGGCCCTTGTGTTCTCCGGTGGCTCAGCAGTCCTCTGGGGGGGCTGGCCCTGTGGCTAGCACTCCACCTGCTGGCCACTCCCATCCTTGGGGTCTTACATCATCACTGCCACTTAGGAAGAGGTGGCTATTGGCCTGTGCATCGGAGGACCTCCTGAGTGACTGTAAAGACAGCTGCCGCAAGCTCTGGTTTGCTCACTTGCCTGCAGTTTACGTGAACAGAATGCCCTGGTCTGTAAACACTGTAATCCCCATCCCAGAATGTTTCCTTTGAAATTAACCACATCCTTGGAGCTGACCCTCCCAAGCACACATCACGCAAGAAGTCCCATCTGCTGGGTCATTTCCCCAAACGCCCACATGACTGCGGCTGGGACAGGAACTTGCACTGGGTATCCCCTGTGCGTGGCAGGAGCCTGAACACCTGGCCATGGTCTGCTGCCTTCCTGGGTACATTGGCAGAGTTGGAGTGGAAGCAGAGCTGTCAGGATTGTATCCAGCATTCCCGGATTCCTCAACCTGCTATACCACGCCAGCCCTTCTCAGAACCACCTTGCCGAGCCAGCCTTTGGAAGGTGCCAAGGAGCTGTGGGTGCACCTGGCAAAGCTCAGCTTGGCTCTCACGAGGCTAACCGTGTTTATAGGCTCATGTGTTCGCATGCCGCTGACTCGGAGTGCTGACAGGAGGGTCGTGTGAGCACAGCAAGGCGGGGGCGGATGCTCTCCCCTTCCGGCCAGCAGCATCTGTGTGAGCTTCCCTTGTCCCTGGCGACAGAGCATGCCTGTGCATGGGGGGCTGTTACCAAGCAGTGCATTCAGATGGGGGCACTTGCCCCGTTGTGCCAAGGCTGCCCTGTCATAGGAAGGCATCACCCCATCCTCAGGGTGCTCGGTGCTCGCTGGAACCCCAAGGAATGAGCCGGCTAAGAGCAGGCGGGCTACACACACCAGCACACATGGCTCTGGCTTCCAGTTAATTTTCACTTGGGTATGCTGTTCTGAGCACTCGTTATCCATGTCACCAGCAGGCTGGGCCCAAGTTCATGTTCACACAGCATTTAACAGACTCCTATCAACAGGATTCCAAAGGCCATAATTACACCCTTGCTCATGTCACGTGGGGGGCTCATGGGCCAGGTGAGTCCAAGGTCAGTCCACCATCCACTAGGACTTAAGGACTGATATGCTGGCCTCTGGTGGCACAGCCAGTCAGCAAAGGCCCAGAAAGTAATAGTCACATCCAGTGGACAGACTACAGCCTAACCCCACACCCCCGTGCCTACCCACCCCCCCATAGCCACACAGCAGGGAGGGAGGGCCGACTGGCAGCATCCTTGCACCCACTTGGGTGGGCCATGAGGGCAGCGCTGGGCCTGGGCTCTGGCCTTGCTGGGAATAGCAGTATCTCGAACAAGGACGTGCCAGCCTGTGAGTTTAGAAACATCAGGGGGACCAGTGTGATGGCTCAACAGCTAAATCCTCATCTTGCAAGTGCCAACATCCCACACGGATGCTGGCTGGTTCCCCGGCTGCTCCACTTCCCATCCAGCTCCCTGCTTGTGGCCTGGAAAAGCAGGTGTTTGGCCTGTTATGGTGCCTGATTATTTTTTCTTCTTAAGATTGACTTATTTGATAGAGAAGACAGAGATCTTCCATCCACTGGTTTGATCCCCCAAATGGTGACAACTGGGGCTGCACCAGATGGTAGCCAGAAGCCAGGTACTTCAGAGACTCCCACAGGGCTGACCGGGGTTCAGGAACTTGATCCATCTGCCACTGCTTTTCCACGTGCATTAAGCAGGGAGCTGGATCACAGTGGAATAGCAAAGACTGGAACCATGCCAGGGCCATAGGCTGGGGCTTAACACACTATGCCACAGTGCTGGCTTGGTGAAATGCCCAGCAAAGGGAGGTAAAATCTGCTCATCTGCCCTCTACCACATGGCTTCTGGTGGATTTCCATTAGTGGGCCACCCACTGGCCACTCTGATTGGCCAGGCCAATAGGCGGGGCTCGAAATGCCTTCCGGTGGCTTCAGAGAGAACCTAGCTGCTAGGCTCTGTGCAGCAACAGGCCTGGGACAGGTCACCCAGTGCTGGGAGACAGCGGTGACGAGTTCAGTGGCTGGCTCCCTGGCTTCCACATGGGACCACGTACCTGTAGGAGACCCCGAGGAAGCTCCTGGCTCCCGGCTTCAGATCAGCTCAGCTCCAGTCACTGTAGTCATCTGGGAAGTGAACATCAGATGGAATCTCTCTCTTTCTATCTCGTTGTCTAAATTTGTCTTTCCAATAAATATAAATATTCAACTAGCCATGCCACTTCGAATTCCATGGGGTCTATTTTTAGGAAAGGCCTTCCCCGTCTTGCTGCACCCTCCCTGGCCCCCGCAGTGTGCTGTGGTCATCTTGATAGAGTTTAAATTAATCTCCCAAAACAAGTATGTGTTGAAAGAATTTATTTTCAAACGATGACCTTTTTATTTATACATTTTATTTTCTTTCTTTGATAACCCTAATTTAAAAAAAACCCTCAGCTTTTGCTTACTTAAAAAAACTATGAATCAAACAAATGGAAGAAGCTCTTGAACAGTCACTTCTGTGATGAGAGAAGAGGAGGGATTCAACACAAGCAAAGGCAACGGCCAAGGAGACGCTGCGCCCATGGGCGCCGGCCATGGCCAGGAGGGCCTGCGGCCTTCCTCCCTGGGACACACAGCAAAGCGCACTCACAGCACAACGGCCCACTCTGTTACACAGTCTGCCCAGGCGGCCTCACAGGACCCCCGTGCTCTTCACCAGCTGCTCCTTGTCGTCAGCAGAGTTCCACACGGTGCGGAGGGCGCGCTCCTGCCTCTTGCGCGCCACGCGGATCAGGCAGACCACTGAGGCGCCCAGCAGCAGGATCAGGACCATCACGAGCTGGCCCACCAGGACCACCACTGCGGGTGAGAGGGGACAGACCAGTGGGGTCAGCGCAGATCCCTGGACTGCGCAGTGTGGCTGCTCGTGCACCTTCCCACACAAACCCGCCTCTCTGCTGCCACCTCCAGGACAGCCTGCATAGCAGGGCAGG